CAAAAGGTACAAATACATATAATGAAAATACTAGAAGAAGAAGAAATACAGCCAGGAACGGAAGTATTCGTAACAATGACTGAGAACTTCCCAAAATTAATGTCGACACCAGACCACAGATTTAAGAAGCTCAGTGAAAATTACATAGTATAAACGCAAAAAAAAAAGTCAACAAGCGTATCATATTCAAATTACAGAAAATCAAAGATTCAGAAAAAATTCTAAAAGAAATCAGAAGGGAGAAAACACCTTACGCCTATGGAGGAGCAAAGATAAGAACTGACTGTGACTTCTCTTCAGAAATCATGCTCGTGATAAGGAAGTGAAGTGACATATTTAAAGCATTGAGAGAGAAAACCCACCAACCTAGAATTCTGTAACCTGAGAAATCACCCTTCAAAAATGAAAGAAATACAAAGATTTTTCCAGACAAACAAAAATGGAAAGAATTTGTTGCCAGTAGATCTGCCTTTTAAGAAATGTTAAAAGAAGTTCTTTACAGAGAAGGAAAATGATACAGGTCAGAAACTGGGTTCTGCATAACGAAAGATCTTCTGAGAAGGAATAATAGATAAAGTGCAAACTTTTGTTTTTTTATTCTCAATTGACTTAGCAAATAACAGTTAATTTAAAATAATGGCACATTGTACATTGTATTTGATCATATATTATATACATACATATATAAATAAATATGCATATATATTTAAATATAAGCAAAATGAATGACAGTTATGATCCAAGGGATGGGAGAGGGGACTTAGAATTATTTTCTTATTATAAGGCACTTGCACTATATGAAAAGTGGTACAATGCTACTCGAAAGTTGTAAACATATATTGCATTTTTAAATTATAAATGTATATCGCAAATTCTAGAACAACTGCTAAATAAATTTTTATAGAAAAGTATAACTAGCATGCTAAGAAAGACGACAGAATGAAATTATTTTAAAAATGCTTAATAAAAACTGCAGGCTGGGCACAGTGGCTCATGCCTGTAATTCTAGCACTTTGGGAGGCTTAGATGGGCTGATTACCTGAGGTTAGGAGTTCAAGACCAGCCTGGCCAACATGGTGAAACTCTGTCTCTACTAAAAATACAAAAATTGGCTGGGTGTGGTTGCGGGCACCTGTAATCCCCAATACTCAGGAGGCTGAGGCAGGAGAATTGCTTGAACCTGGAAGGCAGAGGTTGCAGTAAGCCAGGATTACATCACTGCATTCCAGGCTGGGTGACAGATTGAGACTTTGTCTCAAAAAAAAAAATTAGAAAGGTAGAAAAAGAATAGGGGAAAAAAATAGAAATAAATAACAAAGACAATAAATATAAAACAGTAACAAATATGATAGATATTAATCCAACTATATCAATAATCAGTTTGAATGTCAATTATATAAATTCACCAATGAAATGAGTTTATGACAATGGATCAAAACACAGGATCTGAGCATATGTTTTCTACAAGAAGCCTATTTTAAATATAATGACACTTACAGATTAAAAATAGGTCTTCAGAACAAGGAAAATTATCAGAGAGAGAGTGAGGCATTACATAATGATGAAGGGATCAGTTCTCCAAGAAGGCATAAAAATTTTTAATATGTGTGTGCCTAAAAACAGAGCATAAAAACATGATGCCGAAACAAATAGAATTCTGAGGAGAAACTGATGAATCCACTGTCATAATCAGAGACTTCAACAACGTTCTATCAGTAATGGACAAATCCAGCAGGCAGAAAATCAGTAATTATGTAGTTGAATTCAACAACACCATCAATCAACTGAATATAATTGACATCTATAGAGAACTTCATTCAACAGCAGTACAATAGACATTATTCTTGAGCTCACATGGAACATTCACCAAAATAGACCACATTTTTGCATCATAAAACCCACCTTACCAAATTTAATAGAAAAGAAATCATATGATGTCTGCTCTCATATACTTAATAAAACTAGGAATTGAAACAGAAAAAAAGCCTGGAAAATTCCAAAATTCTTGGAGTTTAAGCAACACACTTCTAAATAACATGAATCAAATAAATCTCAAGAGAAATTTAAAAATATTTTGAACTAACTGAAAATGAAAGCAATTTGTTGAAATTTGTGGGATGCAATGAAAGCAGTGCTTAGAGAGAAATTTATAGCATCGGATGCATAGATTAGAAAGGAAGAAAAATGTAAAATCAATAATTTCCTAAAAGAAGAACAAATTACTCCTAAGTAGGACAGAAATGACAAAAAATAGAGCAGAACTCAATAAAATTAGAAACAGAAAATCAGTAGAAAAAAATCGACAAAATCAAAAGTTCTTTCTTTGAAAAGATTAATAAACCTCTGGCCAGACTAGCTATAAAGAAAAAAAAAAAAAAAAGAAAAAGAGAGAAGACACAAATTATTAACATCAGAAATAAAAAAAAAGAGACATCACTACAAATTCCATGGATATTAAAAGGACAATAAAGGAATATTTTGTACAACTCTATGCCCACAAATTTGAGAACTTAGATAAAATGAATCAATTCCTTGAAAGACACAATCTGGGTAGACCTATTTGTACTTAAAAAATGAAATCAGAAGGGGCGGGGCCAAGATGGCCTACTAGGAATAGCCCCGATCAGTCTCCCATCAAAAAGAAGCAAAACAGTGTGCAAATCCTGCACCAGCAACTGACGTATCCAGGTTCTGTCACCAGGACTGACTAGGTGGCTAACATGACCCGTGGAGAAGAAGGAAGAGCAGTGTGGTGGCAGCCCACCTGAGAGCCACGTGGCACACGGGAGCCCCCACCCTCAGCCAGGGGAGTCGCTCAGTGAGCGTGCTACCCAGCCTGGGAAACTGTTTTTTCCAAGGAACTCTGCAACCCACGGATTGGAAGAGTGAGTCCATGTCACTGACGCCAAGGGTCCCAGCCACAGGGCAGGCGCAAATTCTCAGCAGCCACTCAGCTGGAATCTGCCTGAGCTGAGCTCCTGGGGGAAAGGGGGGCCATCGCCACAGCTGCAGCTGTTTGCTGTCTAAGCCATCTGAGCTCCTTGAGGGAGGCGTGACAGGCAACACTGGGACTGCTAGTTGCCCAACATGCTAAGCTCCCAGGGTGGGAGAAGGGCGGTGCCATCTCTATAGCTCCAGGCACCGCTTTTCCCCCTCCTGAAGCCAGGGAGGCTGGACAGCTTGATCTCAATGATTCCCCACAACCCAACACCCTGGCTGTGGCAGACTGCAGCCATAGTGCCTCTTCAGGCCTGACCCTGACCCCTCCCACCTCACTGGGTGGAGACTTCCTGCAGAAACTCCAACAACTCCAGTGAGGGTCTCAGGGACAGAACTCTGATCTCCCTGGGCCTGAGCCCCTAGTGGGAGGGGTGGCTGTAGTCTTCGTGGACCGGCAGACTTAGTCTTTCCTCCTGCTAGTCTGAGGAATCCATCAGCCCAGACAAGTGGGTTTCCCCCTAGTGCAGCACATCCCCTCCACCAAGGGACAAAGTGCTTCATTAAGTGGGTCCTGCCTCCTGTCCCACCCAACTGGGTGAGACCCTCCAACAAGAGTTGTCAGACTATATACAGGAGCATTTCTACTGGCATCAAGTTGATGCCCCTTGAGGTCAGAGATCCCAGCGCAAAGAACAGGCACCCATCTTTGCTGTTCGCCAGTCTCCTCGAGTGACATCTCCGGGCGTGGGAGTGAACCACAGGAATAGGGCCTGAAGGGAACCCCCAGCAAACAACAGCAGCCCTGCAGAAGAGGGACCTGACCGTTGAAAGAAAAACAAGCAAACAGGAAGCAACAACAACAGTATCAACAAAAAACCTCCCACGAAAACCTCAACTAGGGGTCAGCAACCTCAGAGAGTGAAACTAGACAAATTCATGAAGATGAGAAAGAAGCAATGAAAAAAACACTGAAAACACCAAAGGCCAGAGTGCCTCTTCTCCTCCAAATGATCGTAACACCTCAACAGCAAGGACACATAACTGGGCAGAGGATGAGATGAACGGGTTGACAGATATAGGCTTCAGAAGGTGGACAATAACAAACTCCACTGAGATAAAGGAACGTGTTTGAACCCAATGCAAAGAAGCTAGGAACCTTGACAAAAGGTTATAGGAGCTGCTAATTAGAATAACCAGTTTACAGAGGAATCTCAATAGGTGCAGAAAAGACTTTCAATAAAATTCAATAATGCTTCATGTTAAAAATTCTCAATAAACTTGGTACTGATATCTCAAAATAATCAGAGCTATTTATGACAAACCCAAAGCCAATGTCATATTGAATGGGCAAAAACTTGAAGAATTCCCCTTGAAAACTGGCACAAGACAAGGATGCCCTCTCTCACCACTCCAATTCAACATAGTACTGGAAGTTCTGGCCAGGGCAATCAGGCAAGAGAAAGAAATAAAGGTTTTCAAATAGGAAGAGAGGAAGTCAAATTGTCTCTTTGCAGATGGCATGCTTTTTTTTTTTTGATATGGAGTCTTGCTCTGTCACCCATGCTGGAGTGCGGTGGTGCAATCTCGGCTCACTGCAACCTCTACCTCCCAAGCTCATGCAATTCTCTTGCCTCAATCTTTCAAGTAGCTGGGACTACAGGTGTGTGCCACCACTCCCACCTAATTTTTGTATTTTTAGTGGAGACAAGGTTTCGCCATGTTGGCCAGGATGATCTCCATCTCTTGACCTCATGATCTCCCCGTCTCAGCCTCCCAAAGTGCTGGAATTACAGGTGTGAGCCACTGCGCCTGGCTGACATGCTTCTATATGGAGAAAACCTCATCATGTTAGCCCCTAAACCCCTTAAGCTGATAAGCAACTTCAGAATACAAAAGTCTCAGAATACAAAATCAATGTGCAAAAATTATAAGCATTTCTATGCATCAACAATAGACAAGCAGAGAGCCAAATCATGAGTGAACTTCCATTTACAATTGATACAAAGAGAATAAAATACCTAGGAATACAGCTGACAAGGGATGTGAAGGACCTCTTCAAGGAGAACTACAAACCACTGCTCAAGGAAATAAGAGAGGACACAAACAAATAAAAAAAAAATTCATCCTCATAGATAGGAACAATCAATATTGTGAAAATGGCCATATTGCCCAATTATAATTTATAGATTTAATGCTATTCCCATCAAACTACCATTGACATTCTTCACAGAATTAGAAAAAACTACTTTAAATTTTTTATGGAACCAAAAAACAGTAAGTGTAGTCAAGACAATCCTAAGCAAAAAGAACAAAGCTGGAGGCATCACGCTACCTGAATCCAAACTATACTACAAGGTTACAGTAACTAAAACAGCATGTTACTGTTACCAAAACAGATATATAGACCAATGTAACAGAACAGAGGCCTCAGAAATAACACCACACATCTACAACCATCTGATCTATGGCAAACCTAACAAAAACAAGCAATGGAAAAATGATACCCTATTTAATAAATGGTACTGGGAAAACTGGCTAGCCATATGCAGAAAACTGAAACTGGACCTCTTCTTTACACCTTATACAAAAATTAATTCAAGATGCATTAAAGACTTAAATGTAAACCCCCAAACCATAGAAACCTTAGAAGAAAACCCTAAGCAATACCATTCAGGACATAGGCATGGGCAAAGATGTCATGACAAAAACACCAAAAGCAATTGCAACAAAAGCTAAAATTGACAAATGGGTTAAACTAAAGAGCTTCTTCACACAAAGAAACTATCATCAGAGTGAACAGGCAATTTACATAATGGGAGGAAATTTTTGCAATCTATCCAACTGACAAAGGTCAAATATCCAGAATCTACAAAGAACTTAAACAAATTTATAAGAAAAAAAAAAAAACACCATCAAAAAGTGGGCAAAGGATATGAAAAGACACTTCTCAGAAAAAGACATTTATGCAGCCAACAAACATGAAAAAAGCTCAACATCACTAATCATTAGAGAAATGCAAATCAAAACCACAATGAGATACAGGTATTGATCTACTTACGACCTATGCAACTTACGACCATTCGACTTTACGACCACAATCACTAGCCATGACTGCTCCGCGTCTGGCAGCGCAAACGTTGCCCAGCTGCGCGTGTGACAGTGTGGACCAGCTTCCGGCAGCACTACAGCTAGTGCTTGACTTACGACCATGATTGGTTCCAACAGACCGGTCGTAACACGATTTGGTCGTACGTTGAGTAGGCTATATGTACGGTACTGTGAAATGATGTTATAAAAATCTTTAAGTCATATTTTATCATAATTTTCTTTCATTATTGTTAAATGTCATAATTTTCTTTGTTCATTTTATGCCATTTGTATCATCTCTACACCATTTTGTTTCTTATTTTTACATTTGTCAGGTTTAAGTAAAACACTGCATTACCAGTACAACTGGTTTAATATTTGCAAAACACACAAAATTATAAAATACAGGTGCATACAAAAATACAAAATACAGGCGTAAAAAATACCATAGGAAACATTTTCCCAATTGCAAAACATACCAATATATATAAACATGTACGAAACATTTTATTGGCCGTTTTTGAATTTGATCTTCCATCCAAATATATAGCAATTTCTCCAGTTCGTGGATGGGCCCGCTTCGTTGCTTTGTTATAACTGTTGATGGCATGGGTGCAGAACCTTTCACAGCTTCACGAATTCTTTCGTTATCTTTCAAAATCATCGACACAGTCGAGTGTGATAACTTCGTATCATGTGTGATCACATTCACTTTCTTTCCTCCTTCGTACGGCTTAATTACCTTCATTTTCGTGGCGAGATCTATGGCCTTTCTTTCCTTCTTGGCAGGCTGAGGTGTAGACAAAAACAATTTCCTCTTGGTAGACATCTTGGGAGGGGTTTGATGAAAAATATCCAAGACCCAAAACACAAATTGCTGTACCAAGTCTGGTATAACAGTTGAAATGGTGCACGCAGAGATGGTAGTGCTGCCGGAAGCTGGTCCGCACTGTCGTCCACCCAGCTGGGCAACGTTTGCGCTGCCAGACGCGGAGCAGTCGTGGCTCGCGATTGTGGTCGTAAAGTTGAATGGTCGTGAGTTGCATCGGTAGTAAGTCGATCAATACCTGTACCATCTCCGCGTGCATATAGCCTACTCAACTTACGACCAAATCATGTTACGACCGGTCTGTCGGAACCAATCGTGGTCGTAAGTCAAGCACTATCTGTACCATCTTATGCCAGTCAGAATAGTGATTACTAAAAAGTCCAGAAACCTCATGCCTGTAATCCCATCACTTTGGGAGGCTGAGGAGGGCAGATTACAAGGTCAAGAGATCAAGACCATCTTGGCCAACATGGTGAAACCCCATCTCTACTAAAAATACAAAAATTAGCTGGGTTTGGTGGTATGTGCCTATAGTCCCAGCTACTTGGGAGGCTGAGGCAGGAGAATTGCTTGAACCCAGGAAGCAGAGGTTGCAGTGAATGGAGATTGCACCACTGCACTCCAGGCTGGGCAACAGAACTTGACTCCATCTCAAAAAAAAAAAAAAGTCCCAAAACCACAGATACTGGCAAGGCTGTGGAGAAATAGGAATGCTTTTACACTGTTGTTGGGAATGTAAATTAGTTCAACCAATGTGGAAGACAGTGTGCTGATTCCTTAAGGATCTAAAACCAGAAATACCATTTGACCCAGCAATATGATTACTGGATATATAACCAAAGAAATATAAATTATTCTACTCTAAAGATACATGCACATGTATGTTTACTGCAGCACTGTTTACAATAGCAAAGACATGGAACCAACCCAAATGCCCATTACAGCTAGTGCTCGACTTACGACCACGGTCGGGACTGCGGACCGGTTGTAACACTATTTGGTCGTAAGTTGAGTAGGCTATATGTACAGTTGAAATGGTGCACGCGGAGATGGTAGTGCTGCCGGAAGCTGGTCCGCACTGTTGTACGCCCAGCTGGGCAACGTTTGTGCTGCCAGACGCGGAGTAGTCGTGGCCCGCGGTTGTGGTCGTAAAGTTGAATGGTCCTAAGTTGCATAGGTGGTAAGTCGATCAATACCTGTAATTATAGATTGGATAAAGAAAATGTGGTACATATACACCATGGAATACTATGCATCCATAAAAAGGAATAAGATCCTGCCCTTTGCAGGGACATGGATGAAGTTGGAAGCCATCATCTTCAGTAAACTAACACAGGAACAGAAAATCAAACACCACGTTCTTACTCATAAGTGGGAGTTGAACAATGAGAACACATGGACATAGGGAGGGGAGCAACACACACCAGGGCCTGTCGATGGGGAGAGGAAGGGAGAGAGAGCATCAGGAAAAATAGCTAATGCATGTGGGGTTTAAAACCTAGATGACAGGTTGATAGGTGCAGCAAATCACCATGGTACACATACACCTATGTGAACCCTAATGTAAACTGTGGACATTGGGTGGTAATGATGTGTCAATGTAGATTTATCAATTGTAACAAATGCATCATTATGGTAATAATATCAACAATGGAGGAGGCCGTGCATGTGTGGGGGCAGGTGGAATATGGAAAATCTCTGTACCTTCCTATGAATTTTGCTGTAAACTGAAAACTGCCCTAAAAAATAAAGCCTATTAGACAAACAAACCAACATAGATATATTGTGGGGTAGAATACAAAATATAATTGAGGATGGGCACGGTGGGTCACACCTGTAATTCCAGCGCTTTGGGAGGCTGAGGCAGAATCACCTGAGGTCAGGAGTTCAAGACCAGCCTGCCCAACATGGTGAAACCCCATCTCTACTAAAAATGCAAAAATTAGCCAGGTGTGGTGATATACATCTGTGATCCCAGCTACTCGGAAGGCTGAGGCAGGAGAATCACCTGAACCTGGGAGGCAGAGGTTGCAGTGAGCCAAGATCACACCACTGCACTCCAGCCTGGGCGACAGAGCAAGACTCTGTCTCAATAAATAAATAAATAATTGACCCAGTTCCATAACATACTAGAAGTACTGGCCATAGATGTAGGCAAGAAAAAGAAATAAAAATGCATTCAAATTGAAAAGGAAAAAGTAAAATTATCTTTGTTCACAGATAATGTGGTCTCATATGTAGAAAACCCTAAAGATTCCACAAAACCTATTGGAACTAATACATAAATTCAGCAAAAGTGCATCATACACAATCAATACACACACACAATTGCTTATCTATACACTAACGATGAACAACATGCAAAGGAAATTATGAAAACAATTACATTTAAAATAGCATCAATAGAATAAAATACTCAGAAATAAACTTAACCAAGGAATTAAAGGTTTGTACATTGAAAACTACAAAACCTTGCTGAGAGAAATTAAGACACAAATACATTGAAATATGTCCTGTTTTCACCGACTGAAAACTTTTTGAGGAACTGCCTCATTGTTTTCCTTGGCATCTGAATCATAGTCCCACTCCTGCAATGGAAATAAAAATTCCAGTCGCTCCACATTCTCACCAACACTGATTATTTTCCACTTTTAAAATTTAGATTTCCATCCCAGGAGTGTCTTATTGTAGTTTCGATTCACATTTCCCTAATGGCTAATACTACGGAGCATATTTTCATGTGCTTACTAGCCATATGTATATCTTCTTTGGAGAAATGTTAAATTCTTTGCCCATTTAAAAATTGGGTTGTTTGTCTTTTTGTTGTTGAGTTATATGATTTATTTATATATTCTGGATATTAGAACCTTATCAAATATATGGTTTGTAAATATTTTATCTTGTCCTGGAGATTTTCCCTTCACTTTTTTTAATGTCCTTTAACACACAAATTTTTATGGTGTGTAGCTTATTTTTTCTTTCGTTGCTCATTCTTTTGGAGTTATAGCTAAGACTCCATTACCAAATCCAAGGTCATAAAGATTTACCCTTGTGGATTCATTTAATAATTTCATAATTTTAAATCTTATATTTAGGTCTTTGATCTAGTATCTTCTTTGACATTTAATACTCTACCTGGAAATTATCTTTAAGTA